ATTGCATCTAGAGTTGCTTTTTTTTTAGCAATATAAACCGTCGGAGGTCTTAAGTTTTGAACTTGAGTCAACATAGTTAATTTTTGGGGTTTCAAAACCGTGCGGTGAAAAAGCTTTTCAGTTTTTGATGTTTTATATTTTTAAAAAGTCATTTACTTTTCCGAATTCAAAAGATAAATAACATTTATATTTTTCTATTTTAATGTGTTGCAAATTGCAACTTGTAATCGTTTTTTGAATTTTGAAAATGACCGCGTTTGCCAACACTAAATTACAACGGCACTGCCAGCATTGAGCAAAGTGTGGGTGTGCGTGCGCAGGTTGTATCTGTGTGCGGGAGAGGCACGAAACTCACCACGCCATCCAACGGATTGCTCAGCGCTCTCAGTGCGGATTCCTTGGTTCTGCGCTCGAAGTAGGGATGTGAAAATTCTGTAGATATCGTAACGATTTATTCTGCTATTGGTCTTAAAAAATACAGGACACGTTTAAGATACTTTGCCTATGAAATTAAAACAAGATTCTTTGGTATTTATTTCATGGGTTTCGGTTACTGAATATTCTATTCTCTTTTCCCTCTCTCGATGTTTCTCTCGGAACTCTCTCAGCCTGTTGGTAAACTCAACGGCCAAGTTAATTCCCCACAGCTCCAAAGACTGGCAGTCCATATAGTTTTTCGTGAGCGCTGCGCTCATTGCCCCAACAATTTTCAACCGCGCCGCTTGTGTGCTCGTCTGCCGTTCGAGAAATCCGAAAGATATCAACAAAAAGATGGATACTTGACGTATGCCACGAGAAATATTCCGAAATAAGTTTATTTGTGTGTCGGGACTGCTAAACGATTTTCGATTGTCCAATCGAATGCAGGAAACTCGGACTTTCGTCGTCTTTTCCCATATTTTTTCGCAACGGTTACGGGTTTTTCATTTGTTGTTATTGTAAACGCGGGCGTCAATAAAACAACAACAAACAAGTGCAGTTTAGAACTCAAAAAGTGAAGGAGGAAGTGGAAGAAGTGTGAGTGCAATCAATGTGAAAATCGAAGAGGATTGGAAATCGTCAGGCGAAAATCTTGTATTTTTTTTGCTGTTATGAATTCTATGCATTGTAGGTGTGTGCGAGGAAAGAGCGAGAATTCTCCGCCCGGATAACGGATCTTCGATCTCGATTGCGTGCGTGTGTGTATGTACGCTAGTGTTTGTGCAAATTAAAAATCAATAAGAATCGGGGGACAAGAAGACTGGGCAAATAATAAAGTGTGTTCAATCTTTAACTGGGCAAAAATCGTAAAAAAAAAAATAGAAAAGAAATGCAATTGCTCGCCAGCCACGTACACACATTGTACCTGCACTCGGGCACACAAACAAACATACGTATACGTATATAGCGGCGGCAGCGGCGCCGGCAGAATCAAAGCAGAGCGCAAATCGCAAGCCAGCAACAAAAAAGAAACACCTTTTCCACCACGTTAAAATTGTTATTGTCTTTCGGCTTTCGGCTACTTCAACATAATATTCAACCGAATCAACACATTACTCGCATTTTATTGACTATCCGCACAAACGTACACATGCATAGCGAAAAGTGACTGACCAGTAAAAAAGAAAAGAGAAAGACGACTGCGATTACCAATCCATTAACAAAATCCCGTCGGCACGTGTTAAACAAATTGAATTTCGTTGTGCAACATAAATTAATTTAATTTCTTCTGCAGTCAATGTAAAATACAAAGTATCAAGTGAACTTTTAAACATATCAATTACACACATACATATCTAATATTATTAAAAAAAAAGGAAAGGATAAAAAGGATACCCGCTTGCAAAACAATCTTTAAAAAGTAAGTACCTTTTTTCGCGTTTGAAATTTGTTAGGAGGTGCACTCGTGATTATGAAAAATACACTGCTTAAGGAGCTTTATACCCCTAAGATTTTGGCATTTATGGATAGCATGGAATACTTTCTACTCCTTTTTGTACACTTTGATATAAAGAAAATAATTTTAATTTGGATACAAAATGTATTTCGTATATCTTCAATTCTATTCTTATAGAGAGCGCTGCAGAACTTGACTATCAACTTTGGTAACTTTCAAAGTTCCCTTCATAAATTATTTTTCATTTAATGCATATCTCGCTAATCAAGGTGCGAGTATCTGTTACCAAATCGCGATTGTTTCCAATTGGACTTCCAATTAGTCATGCTTTCATTATCAGAATGTACATAAGTACATATATAATTCTTACATTTGTGAATGCGATTTTGTGGAAAGCAAACACTCAGCGGTTTTAAAAAAAAAATCTTTAGTATGGACTGCATATGGGCACTTCCAAAATGTCGCTCGGGACATTTGCACACCTTTAAAGTTGAAAAAAAATTGTAAAACAATGGATTTTAATTTTAATTATGGGCTTTTCTTTTCACTCTTCCCAAGCTCTATTTTTGGAAAAAATCTTGATTTTGTACACCTTTTAGTTTTTAAGATATCGGTATAAAACTGCCGTATTCGCTCGGGACAAAAATAGAAGTGGATTTCGGGGAAGTTCATACAACACCAGAAACTAGCGAATTCTGATGGAATATTTGAATACGATTTTTTTAGAATGTTGTTCAAACATGTCGCTGTGAAATGCTTTTGGTTTTACTCAAAAATTCTTTGCCGTTTTTTTTTTATGCAGTTTTAACCACATTCGCTCGGGACATGTCGCTCGGGACATTTTTTCCGACTGTTTTGTAAAGCGGATTTCTTTACCTCTTTCTCTCAATTGCTGGATGTTTTGCTTTTAACTTAATAGTTTAGCATGTGAATGAAGCATTCAGTACAGAAAAATGTCACATATTAGCATTCCTATAGGATAAATTAACAACAGAAGACAGGTCCAAAAAATAACAAAAAAATAGCCAAAAACTGATTTTTGCGTATTATGGTGGGGTTTGTGATAAAAATAATCAAACTATACTCCAAATTTTTAGTTAAGCTCAGTATCCAACTAATTAGAAACTAATATCGGGGCAAAATCATGTGGAAATATGTTTTATTCAAGTTTCAAGGTTTTTGGCTTGGTGGACTTTTTTTTGGAAGTGCCCATATAGATATTCTTACAATTGTTTTTTTCGAAGTTCTGGTGCTGCAATGCGCATTATTATTAAATTTATATTCTTTATTTTTAAAAATGAATGATTTTCTTTTAGCATGAACAATATTTAATAGTTTTTCTGAAACTTTTGAAGAAAATCAAGAAATTCAGCGATTTGTAATATATTCTGTCTTGTGCATTGGATTTTTTTTTTTATTTAAGGATCTACAATAAGTTTTAATCTGTTTGCTATTAACTGATTTGGAACCTTAACAAGAAATAAGTAAATTTTTTGAAAGAAAAAAACATTTTCAAAAATGTTCAAATACGGGGGTGTCACAGAAATTATTTCCAACCGAAATCCGTTAAAGTTCTTACGTGCATCAATGCAAAATCCAACCGTCTTCGGTTGGAAGAGATTTCTATGACACCCCTGATAATATAGCATTTGACTGTTGTTGATGTGGATGTTGAATACATATTTCAGGATTCGACTTTGGATAGCCGTTAGAAAAAAATTTTTTCTAATAGAAAATTTGTATTTCTAAGATCGAGGATATTTGAGTTCAGATCTTCAGAGTCGAAGAAAGTCTTTAAGAATGCCTGTAGAACCTAAGGTTCCCGACTTTCTGGGTTTTCAGAAGAGTTTCTCGAGAGTGCCTTCGATTCCCACCACACACAGGCAGGCGCTCTCTTCTGACCACGGCTACGGTAGATTATTCCATACCCACCTCAACCTTAAATTGTTGATTCTTCAACTTGTCAAACCGGCTGACAAACCGACCGTCGCTCGTCCGTGTCCGTGTGGCTGTCTGCGGTGCCCCTGTGTTGGTGTGGCGCCATTCCGACGACGCCTCTGCCGCCGACATCGTTACTATTATTTCTTTTATTACGTCAGTGGCGCCAGGCGCTTCCCTCTCGCTCGCACGCCCGCCGCCCTGCCTTTTTTTCACTCTGCACGCAAGCATTCTGTAAGTGTGAGTGAGCGAGAGAGCGCGAGTGTGTGTGTTGGTGAGCGTGTTTGTGGGGCTGACTCGTAATTTTGTTGCTTTTTTCCTTGTTGTTGCCGTCATGCCGGCGGCGCCACTTTTGTCGTCGATAAGGAGCGCAAGAAATGCCAGCAACAAAATGGAAATGCTCGCATGGGCCACACACACACACATATTTGGGCTGTTAATTTGCGGCGCTCCTCGTTCGTTTGCCCCTTTTCCCTTCTTTCTCCACCGCCGCCGCCACTGCCCCTGCCCCTTTCCCCCACCTCTTGCCGTCTCTTTCCCGCCGACAGCTGATGCTGCCGCACAGATCTTTTGCATATTGCACTGGCGTCGGCTGTCCGTCAGTGGAGGGGGGAGGTCGAGGTGGAGGGGGCATTACTCACTCAAGCGATCCACAAGCAGATTCCTATCCTGCCACCAAGGGCGTAGACTGGAAATCGGTAAAAGGGCATTCTAACATTTTCCCAAAAAAAATTTTTTTTTAATGCATTAGTTTAAATCTTTTTGGTTTAGTGTTTATTGAACTGAAACACAATAACTGTAGAAGAAAATAAGTAGAATGTAAAGATTTTTTTAAAGCAGATCTTAAAATCTATTAAAATAAAATTTGGGATAGATAGATTTACAGTAGTTTTTAATAAGAATTTTTTTTATGAACTTACTAAACTTCATTCTTTACACCAGAAATTACCCGTTAAATCGGATCAATCGGTTAAAAATGATTGTTAAATTACGTTTTAAGAAATATTTTATGATTTTTTTTTTTATTTTTTTTTTAATATTAAAACTATTTTATTGTTGAAATAAATACCGTAGGGCCCTCTCAGAACTCCACCCCTGCTTAGCATAAACTCGAGTGCATTTAACGATGCTCGGAAGACCAATTAGGCCAGTGACTAATCAACGTACTCCTCTTTTATTGCAGAGTGCACACCACTGGACGATACATATCAAACCCGTCGAAAGCATATCAAAGCCAACGAGTGATACGAGTGCGAGGAGTAGAAAACAGTTTAACAAGTTCCCCAGACCCTCCGCTCCCCCACCCCCAAAGAAAACCCCAGGTTCCCAGACACCCACCCCGTTGAACCGTCGAACAGAAAGAGAGTAATCCTACCGTGACTAGCCGGCCCCGTCGAGTCCGCGAACCCAGTTAGTCAACTACAAATAATGCGCATACAATAGGATCGATGTTACCGCAAAACTGTATGTCCCTCCATGATATTCCCAAGCGAAAAGAAGAGAGATCTATGGCGTTATGCGTCCAGAAACAATCCGGGTCCGTGCGATGGGGCGACAGGAGCGCCGCCCGTCCAGCCACCACGGCCGCCGCCCCCTCCACATCGACCCCGCCCTCATCTCTGCTCCGGCTACTCCTGCCCCGAGGAGGACTCCCTGACGATGCGCCAGCAGACGCCGCCGCCGCCGTACAGCTCGATGTCCTGCGCCATGGACTGCTCCAACTCCGGCTCCAACTCCAACTCCGGCTCCGTCTCCGGCTATTGTCACAGTTTGAGTCTGAGCCACAACAACAACAACAACAGCCACCCCTACCGCCGCCTGCCAAATCACAAGGATCCGTTATCGCCGCATCCGTCAGCCTCCGACCGCTGCTATACCGCTCCTGGCTGCAGTTGCGCAAGCTCCTGCGACGATATGTTGATCGACGGAAGCGATCAGGAGCGGAATCGGGAGCGGGAGCGGGAACGGAATCGGAATCATCCTGTGCAGCAGGTGGATCGCCGGATGTTGAGTGCCACCACCTTTGCGACCATGTTTCGGAATTGCTGCGGCGGGGCCACGGAGTCCACCAGCAGCGGGTCCACCACCTCCACGATTTCACTTACCGCCGCCTCCGCCCAACAGCCAACAAACCAAATCCCGAACGGGAGACGGACTCGCGAGGATTTCGATGCTCTGATGAAGCAGCTAAAGCGCAAGCAGATGGCCGAACTCCTGCTGGCGGTCAAGAGTCGCGTGGATCCGCCGACCAGGACGCATCGCGAGGCCGTGGCCACCACCGCACCCACCTACCTGCAGTGCATCCTGATCCCCTGCGCAACGGAGGCGGATCGGGAGCAGCATGTGACCGCCAGCCGGCTGTTCTTCTGGCCGGGCCTGAGGAGCGGCGAGGAGCTGAAGCGACTGCCCGTCTGTCCCGCCGCCCGCGACTGCGTCTACACGTGCTGCAACCCGCTGCACTGGTTCCGCATCTTGCACCAGCCCGAAACAGGTAGGAAACGGGTATTACTTTTCTTAGTCTGTGAGCGTAGAACTTTATTTTGAGGTCATGGTTTATATTTTAGTACATATCCTAACTCTAATATATTTCGAAATAAATATTAGAACTTGCTAATGTATTTTAAAGTTCCATTAAAGATTTATAAAATTTTTTATATGAAATTTAATTAATGGGGCCTTCTTTGAAAGTCCCTTTTTCTTAAGCAAACTTGATAAATGGAGTTTCTTGTGAGGCTAGTTGGGTAAATAAAAATATCAGAAAATTTCTTGAAAAACGGAAATTGATCAATTCCCTTTCCGGTACACCAAAGAAAAAGAGTTCGTGTTTATTCATTGGATTTTGGTCGAATGAAACTCATTTGCAATGGGTTTCCCCCCTCAATAAATTCATATGTACCTTATCCGAATCTTTATGGCGGGTGGAAAAGCTAATAGCAATCTAAGCGCCAGCTGTGCCAATACTTATGCCCGCCACTGTAGGTGCAGACATGGTGCGCATGTATTTGGTGGCGCCAGGGCACACAGACAGGCACTAACACTCGCGCAACGACGATGCGGCATGCGAAATCCATACGCCGCTCGCCAATTTTATTTTTTATTCGCAAACGAGCATGGGTTGCACTCGGCAGTGGTGTGGGTATTTGTATTTATGAGTGAGTTTTTTTTTCGGTCTGGTCTGGAGAGTCGGAGCGAGGCAAAAAGAGCCAGATACAAGGTGCATCTGTATCTGTATTGGGCATTAAAATGCTCCCGCAGAAGACCGAATTCAAGTTCCTACACAGGAAGAAAACAGAGCGATATTAAATTAAAATTGTTATATTTTCTTTTTTCTTTATAAATAATATTTTCTTATTCTAAAAATTTTAACTTTAAATTCCCAAAAATGCGTCCTTAGTTTTTCTGGACGATTAGAATCCACAGGTTAAGGAATGACAAACATATTTAAAACCAAAAATCGAAATTTAGGAATAATTATAGGTCTGCGAAGTGGCTTTAAAGTTTATCACTCATACGCACTGTTGCCTTTCATGACAAAATTTATTTACTTCTAGTTTTCGTTGATTACAACTAAATATTAGCTTACTCTCCCTGTTTTAAGCCAATTATTCCACCAAAAGAAGGGAACGTTTTTTTGACCATATTTTTGGACCGCCTTAAGATGCACACTTAGTATTTTGCAAACTTTTTTTCCGTGTGCACTCACTGTGCGCCGCCGCCTTGACTTTTGCCCAGACACAGACACCGATACCGCACTCACACACCCACCGGATCCACCGCTCTCCGGCTCATTTATTCCGCTTTATCACGGCCCGCAGACACACACGTGGGGGAGCGGAGAGAGCGGCGCAGAATGTGCGTGAAAGCGCCACGCAAACGGTCGGCCCAACATGACGGCGACTAAATTCTTTTCAAAATAATTTGCGTAAATTTAGAAACTGGCGCCAGGAAATAATCAGGCGTCGTCGCCAACGCAAACGCGAAAGCTAAAGCTAAAGCAAAGTCGGCGGAGTCCGTTACCCACTATACCCATTCCCATTAGCCGTACTCGTCCGAGTACTCGAAACACAGTCCTACTCCAATGATTCAAACGATCAAGGCACAAAAACTTCTAGGTTCTAGAATCTAGACTCTATCTTTAAAAAAATTTGAAAATTCTCACAAATTATGAAAATAAATATTCTTATGGCTCCAAGGATAGGCAGTCTTTTAAACAGATAATATACAAAAAAAAGGTGTATTGGGAAAAAATGCATTTCTAATTTATTTATATCTTTACACTGTAAAGATACTAGAACCAATATATATTTTAAAATTTCGAATCTTGGAATAATTTTTTTTTTATGTGAACTAGATTTGAAAACAGAGATGATGACCTAGATAAATACAATTGGTTTCTTTACAAAACATTCATCTTATAGAGAACGTACTGTATCTGAGGCCGCGGCATATCCGTCGCCACCAGCTAGTTGGCGCATCATTTAGAGATCCCATTCGCACTATGTACATTCGGGCAAACATCGGAGCATGTGCATGTACATATGTACATTACATACATGTGCGCCTTCCGATTTGTTTGTTTTTATTTTTAGCACGCGCATGCATATAAAAAAAATAAGTAGATATAGCATTTGCATGTGTGGGCACTATAGTCGTACATCGAATGCAGATTGAAAGATGCACCATGCATTTACATCGTCGAATTAACGTTTCATCACGGTTGAAAGCGATTGATGATGGCTGATGTGCGATTTATTTTTAACCCATTTCCCCGGCCAACAGTTTCACTGGGCACATTGAACGTTATCTAGAACGTGCGTATCGCTCGGACTCGGCCGAGCTTACAACTGTATGGGCACATGGATCGCCGTTCTAGTGTTAATCTAATCGGACTATTATATCAGCACTAAACTGCATGCATGTAATACATCATCTGTGTGGGTTGTTTTCATCAATCGGCAGTGGTTTTATACATATACGGGGAGCATGTCTAACCTCAAATTGAAACCAAACCCCACTTGTGTGCCATGTGCAGAATAAAAATCAGAGTATGTATAGAAAATGTACTTATCAAATTCTTAAAAATGGGGATTAGTTGTAGAGTGCTTTTGCCCAGACTACCTTATCGAATTTATTCCCCGAACTTGTATCCAACTTTCTTTCGAAATAACACCGAATATGTTAACCCCATGGCTATAATACAATTATTGTGAAATATATATCGATGAATAACAATCCTTATCAGAAATTTATTCATTTATTACTTAGATTATAAAAAGAAAATAGTGTTTTTATGAACCATTAAAAAAATGTAAATTAGTGTAATCCAAAAGTAAAAGTACTCGAAGAGATTTTGAGATAGCGAACAAATTAATTAGGAAATTGCATACGTTTACTTGTTGATGTTTAACTTAATGGCGACCAAGATTGAGATCAGCTCTTTTTTCCGCCAGCACTTTCAGAGTCTTTCCTCTAACCGATAATCACTGTAGATGCGATGGCAAAAAGGCATGTCTATACCGACATTCCTGTGCACAAAACACAATCTTTTGGGAAACATGAAGACTCTGTTCGTGCCGGTCCGCAGATACATATACAGATACATAGATACACAGATACAGCCTCCCTTACCTGGTCGCTTACCTGTGCCACTTTACCTGTGCCTGTGCCTGAGCAACTGGCAACTGGCAACTGGAAAAAGGCAACAGGGAACAGTGAACAGGCCTTCTGCTGGCTGTGTCATCGTCGTCTGGACGGCGGATGGACGACGTCCCGACAGTGACTGGTTTTTTAATGATGGCGCCGAACACATTAAACAAGTCGATAATGTTATTCCATCCGCATCGGCCGGGGAACACAATTCCAGGAATTGTAACGACGATCGGTGCCTTGGTCTTTGGACATCGCGGCTCCAACGGCTCCGAACAACAACGTCCCTTTCCTCGCAGCGAGCACCCATAAAAAGGATCATTTTGCGTGCCTCGGCCCCATCCATCCGATCTCATTCAGAGGTGCGGTTCTTGCCCATAAAGCTTTCGGACTTTCGGGGCCTCTTCGGTCGAGAGGGTTTTTGTGTGTTCCTACGGATCGGCCACAGATACATACATATTTATGTAGGCATATTTGCGCTGGTCGAAATCGTTTTGGGCCAATTCAATGGTTTTGAAGGGGAACTTGACTAATTACGTTGTATACTTGGAATAATATAAAGTTGAGTTTTACTCGTTCTTCAACCATTATGTCAGGTTTTTCTTTAAGTGGGCTTATGGAAAAGAATTAAGGGTAAGAAACACATCATATTTCTTTATTCTCGGAAATATCTTATAGTAAAAGCATTAGAAAATTCAAAAGGATATAAAATAAATGTATTATAATTAGTTGCATTTTAAATATTAAAATTTCCCCCAAATAAAATCCCATTTAAGTGCAAAAATATTAAAAATCATTTCCAAATCAGAACATAAATCTGGAGCAGGGCCGATAAATAAAACTGTTAGACACTTGGTGGAATTGCCATGCTTAAATTTCAATTACTGGAATCTGACTCAATAGACTGGCACTCTTTTGCCAGAACCCAGAACAGAACCCCAGAACCCGAAACGCAGAACCGTGAATATTCAGTTGCCTATTTCGCCGACTGGTCATACGATCCATATCCATCCATCAGATTGTTGACGGCGTGCTGGAATGGTTGGCTCTCCCTTTGGTTTCAGTTTCGGTTTCGCTGCGGCGCTCGTATTTTATTTTTTATTTTTTTATTTTTAGTTTTATTTTCTTTCAAGAATTGTTAGATTTTCGACGTTGGCGTCGATGACGCGGCCGCTCGTAATCAGGTTTAACTGGTACATTGGGGCTTGGGGACCGGCGGCGGTGGCGAATCGCCACGATCTGGGTAAATTTGAGTCGGGTCGAGTAGCCGGGCGCCGTTGACGAGGCACATCAAGCGATTTATGCGCCGTCAGAATACCAAGAGAATTACTACGGATCTTCTCCATATCGCCCTCGAAAGCTGCGCTTACCTGTTGCACTTTAATGGCAAGTTTTTTGGCTTAATGTGCACTTCTTTTATTGCCATAATTTGTTTGCTGAATCTTAATTTGATTCGAATGAATCGCATTGATTTGCATTCAATTGAGTCGAACGAAGCTAATCAATGCTATTTAGATGCAAAGCCGATTTCGTTTATATCTTGCTTGATTTACATATTTGCCGTGCCCCTTTAAGTCCAACAAATTAATCTTTAACTTAATTTTTACTAGAGACCGAAAATAATCATTATTTGTGATTTTTTAAAGCCTATTAAAAATGTTGAATTTTGTTGTCTTTTAAAAATAAATCTTTTGCATAGTTAGATAGTCTTTTTATTATTTTTATTTATTTTTCATACACATTATATTATAATAAAGAAATATGTGAACAACTACAGTAAGTAATATTTAAAATATGTTATTTTTTATAATTTAAAGTAAAACGTTAATGCAACCAATTAAATATTTACGCAACGTCTCATAAATTACTGAATTTATTGAATTGAATGAGAAATATCGTTAGATCTGGCAGGCAATTCATTGAGGCTTTTGTTTGCGCCAATCTGTTAGCCACCAAAAACGACCTGTTCCGTTTGCTTTTTTGGGAGTGAAATGAGAGAATGAAAACGGAGTAGAATGTAAGCGAGATTAAACACAGCGCCATCGGAATCGGAGATTGGGGTTCGGGGATCGCGAATTCGGAGATTCGGAGATCGCCGCACATCAAACGATTTCTGCGCCAATAAAAATAAAATGTCCCCCAGTGCGGCTGCCTGATATGCAAAGATTATTTATTTTTATATCGCCGCGCTGATGTTTGGCTTGCTTACGCTTACGCCTGGGTTTGTTTCGACTGCCTTTTCTTTTCTTCTTGGTTTTTCTGGCCTTTGTTTTTGTTTGGCTCTGTCGCTCTCTCTCTATTTCAATCTCTATCTCTATCTATCTCTCTGTTTTTGTTTCGCTTCGATTTGCTGTTCAAATATTCAAACACTAGTATGTATTAGTTTTGCGAACCATGATCTCATCCTATATGGGCCCCGACTAGAAGACGCGCATTTATAACTCGAACTTTTGATTAACTCGAAATTGTTTGTAATCATCCATGGGGCTTGCCATTTGAAAATGGTTAAAAATGCATTCTGCTGATAAGGTTGAGATAAGGAATAAGGTCTGTTAAGTAATTTCATGCTTTTCGTAAATTGATTTCATTTAATTTTTAAATTCCTAAGAATATAAATAATTTCTGTTTTTTCCTGTAAATCTAAGTAAATCAATAATTATACCGTAAATTGAAGTTGTTGCAGATTCAACTATTACTTTGAATTACTGAAAGGTATTTATTTCAGTAAGAGTTAATTCGATTTAAAATGTAAAGAAGTTCAAAATGGCTTTATGTTTTTAGCATAATAATTTAGGAATAGTTTTAAGTACAATACATGCACAAGAATTAAGTCTTATTTAAATAAAATAATAAAAGATATCTAATGCAATCCCATTTATTTCTGTGTCATTCCAGAAGTCCAACCGCCGCCATACCAACGCTCAAAAATGCTGAGACTGAGAGATGCAGGTAAGCCCACTCCACTATATAGAGTTTCGATCCGGGCATACTGACCCTCCCCTGATTCTTACAGATTCCGAAGAAGACTCGCAGAACGATGCAAATTCGGCGGCGCTGAGCACGTGGAGCGCCCAAAGCAGCAGCATTTCGAGCATCTTCAAGCCGCCACTCTTCGAGTCGTTCACCACTGATGGAAAAGGTGAGTTTTGCACCCAAAACCCCTCTCACCTTACGCTCCCCCTGTTTTTAAGGAGATTGAGAGAGTGCACTTGAAGAAAAGGTGTATCAGATTTGATGCAAATTATATTTACTATAAAATATTGGCCAACATTCTTTTGGTGATCAGTTTAAAGGGAATATGGATTGTAATTTAATTCTAAAAACAAAACGCGAAGTTAGGAAATAATATTCTAGTCCAAAAATTAACTTTAATTTTAGAAGAATTCTTTTTATCAAGATAACATAGGCTTCTTGTCGAATAAATCTTTTAAAAATGTGAATTTATTTCCACTGTTTTTTTTTATAAAGTAAAAAAGTGGGAGAGCGAAAAGTGTTGCGATTATTTTGCCATGTAGGTGTGTGGGGCCCCTCTAGGGTGGTGTGTGTGAGCGGGCGCTCTCTCTTGCTGGCAAATTGTTGTTGTATCGTGGCGCCAGCTTGCCGCGTCAGGTCGTCACTTTCTATATTGATATTAACTTTTAAGCGAAAACAGCAAAAACGAAATGAAAATAAATAATGAGCGAAAAACAAACACGGGCGGCGGCAGACTGAGCGAAAGAGAGGCAGGGAGAGAGAGAGAGCGAGGAGTGAGGTGAGTTGGCGCTCTCGATGGCGCCACAATCTTAGTGCTTACTTACAAGAGTGTTCCAAAAGGGGGGCAAAAGGGGTTCGAGGGGCACCAGGGGCTCTACGGGTTCTACGGGGGCTATGATATCATTCACGGCATTACCATTACCCGGCGACTGAGACGGCACCGTGAAACCGAAACTGGCCAGAACTCAAACACACACAAACACCATCGTCCATTTGGCTTTTTTTTATGGGATTGTACTGGCGACAAAACGACGGAAAACTATTACATTTAAATGGACCGTTAAGTTGCGGCTTTACGACGATTGGGTGACAGGCCAGTTAAAAATAGATTGAAATTCCAAAATTGATTGATTCCCATCAGAGTTTTGACAAATGCACATTGTTTGCATACCCTTTGAACTCGGAATATATTTGGGATGTTTACTATGCATTTTCTTAAAGTTTATGGCGATGGATTTCAGTAGGCCTTAAATGTTAATATAATACATTTAAAATATTATTTATCAGCAGATAAAAAAAAAAAAATTTTAGATAGTTTAACTTATCTTTCTAGACTTTTCTTAAAACCTTTAAAAAGTTATAGTTTTTAAAAATCTTAAGAATACATCTTAAATATCGATTTTAACTGTTTTGATCTATATTTAAAAATCAGAAAAGTCGATAGTCCCAATACTTTTATTCTGTATTCTTGATTTCGATCGATTTAATCACCTAATTGCATTAATGCAACTTCATCGCCGGTGGGACTCCACTGAAATGGAGCACACACAAGTCGAACATCCGTGTTTCCCCGAAGGCACCACATGTGTGCCACCAACAAACTTACAGGCCACTGCCTCGACCCACACATGCATACAGATTGAAGATAAAATATTCTAAATTTAAAGATGATGTAGCAGCCCGTGGATTCGGGCATCTAACACAAATGTATGTACATTTATGTACCTACTTACATAAATATTAGCAAGGGGAACCAACAGCCATGAAGCGGCGCTACGAATTTACAAATATGTAGTACAGGAAAAACTGCAGTAGGTATGTGGATCTTTCAAGCAGAACCCTCCCAGAATGCCAAACGTTTCAGAGTTGAATGCGTTTCGCATTACAAGCATTTTCCAAATATTCCCTGCAGTTAATCACTTGAGGTTCTGAAAGGGTATAAAGATATTATATGTCCCTTACTGGTAAAATGTGTCTGATGTTTTTTTCCACATAAATTTTTTATTTATTTAAAAGAAAAAACATATTTTCCATATTTCCTATCTGCAAATGAAAATTCCTAAGCAAGACCCAAAATTTGTGAAGATATAACACATAAAGTGTAAAGTATACGGCGGAACCTGTCGAAATTCCCAAGTAAATATACAATTTCAAACTGTTTGAGGGACCAATTCGATGGTTCCCCCACTTTCCAAAGCACCTTTCGCCCGGATCAACTTCTTGGCGAGTTCTCGCCCAGTTGAGCGAGCTGGCGACGCCAGCCTGGTGGGGTAAACAATTTTTCGTGGCCATGGCGAGACGCGACGGAATCGCCGGCGTCGACCTAATTAGGTAAACATCGGACAGGCGCCACTTGCAGCGTCCAACGCCCCCGCGGCCCCCGATTTTCGCCCCCCTCTTTCGGCACATTCTTTGCCATGCAAAATTTTAAAAGCCGTCTACGGATTTATTGCGATATATATTTTTACTTGGCGCCACTGACGCCCGCCTGGGCTTGGCCTTTAGCGCCTTTCGGCCTTTTCGTTCCGATTTATTCTCGGCGAGCGCGTGCTGTCCATTGTGTTGGCCGTTTTCCCTGCGATTTTCCTCGATTTTCCTCGATTTTTCCTCGATTTTCCCTCGATTTTCCCCCCAATCGCTGAGCGATTGTGTATTGTGTGTACACTTCTCGAATTGGCTCTCGCCGTTCTGGCCAACTGCACCACCAATCGACTATCGACCCGCTGGCATTGTTGCAATTGGCAATTCGGCCGCCATGGCGTATGCGCGATATTTGCACTGTGTTGTCTGACAATGCACTCTATGCCATTGTTGATTGATAAATTCCCAAGACAAGGGTGTGTTTAGGCTGACAATGGTAAATGGTGTCATCTGAAGTAGGTATTAACAAATGTGTATATGGGTGAATAAAATACTGATACGGTGGCGTATACGCAATGTTTGCATTGTCCGATTTAACGACTGCAAAAGTTGAATTCATCGCATTTTGTTTACTAATTCGGGGGAATTCATAGGTATATTCTTTTAATTAAATATAAATTTTGAAATTTATGCATGGTTTAATGCGGTCATAAATATTAAATAATTTGTATTTAGAGCCCACCCACACATAAACATTCTCAAAGAGACTCGTTAGCAAGGATTTCGAATAAAGAGTTGCACTTGTTTCTCGCTTTATTGTTGGCCCGACACGCGTTCCGAATCGGAATATACAAATGAACCCATAAACAGACTCTGTGGGTTTGCTCACAATATATATACATACAGCCGTACAGGCCGATATATGCGCGAATGAATTCCACACACACACCAAATACACGACGCCGGTCTGTTTACGTAATGCCCTGGCGCCAAAATTATTACCATTTAAATGTCTGAGCACACAAGTGAGTGTGAACGTAATGTGAATGCGCCTGTTTGAATGTGCGACTCGCTCAATTCGCCGTCGTCGTCGACTCTTCGTTCTTTCTGTATTCTCAAACGATATGGCTATATAGCGCTTACTCCCCCGATATCGCCGCGAATGTTATGGCAATTTTAAATCACATTTTATTGGCCGACGAAAGAGTTATTACCGCTTTAGCCTACAATTTGTATGCGGGTTACAAGATTGCAATTTAAATAATAGTTATTAATGGGAATAACTTTATCGCAGTCATATTTAAGAACTTAATGATTCCGCTATCTGGCCAATAAATTAGCAGGTTAACTTGACATCGTAATCTTTAAGCGTTTTCTTGAGCGCCCTGTTAGGTGTGAAAGATATGAACTTTACTTGTAGATCCAATTTAGTGGTGATCGTAAATATGTTTAAGTTATAATTATTGATAAATCTCCAATAAGGAAATGATTTTTGTATTTAAACATTTATTTAATACTTCAAATTATTTTAGATTTGACAGAGAAGTTCGAGGAATTATATTTCATATTCAAAATTACGTCTAATCGCAACTTAAATAGAAGTTTCATATGCAATATTAATGTTTTTATGGAAGCCATTGTCTAAATAACTTTGTTTTTCTTGTATATTTCAGATCATAACATCAGCAGCAAGGTCTGGTGCCAAATCGCCTACTGGGAGTTGGCCCACCGAGTCGGGGAGTTCTTTAACGCCAGAACGAAAGCAGTCAATATCTACACGGATGGGATCGTCGGCAGTGAAGGGGACAGCATGTGCCTACGTGACCTCACTCCCGCAGGCAAGCAGGTCCACTCGGAGGCGATCCAAACTACGCGGCAGAAGGTCGGATTGGGTGAGTAAAGATAGGTTCTTATATTGGAAGTACATTTTAACCGGAGTCCGCATTGCAGGGGTCACCTTGAGTCTGGAGAACGGCGATGTTTGGATCTACAACCGTGGAAATACACCCGTTTTTGTGGACTCTCCCACCCTGGCAGAAAATCTGGATCGTGTGTGCAAAGTGATGCCCGGCTACTGCCTGAAGGCCTTTGAAACAAATAGGTAAGGATTCTCTTTCAATTAAATTGCAAAGCCATTTTTATGTCCATGAAAGAATTATATATAGAGAAATAAAGAGTAGAAGTTTTATTATACCCGTTAATTGTAGAGTAAACTGCCCGTCTGTCTGTCTGTCTGTCTATCCGTCCGTATTAACGCTTAGATCTCGAAAACTACAAAAGCTAGAAGGTTGAGATTTCCCACACATATTCTTTATTTTCCTACGCAGCGCAAGTTTGTTTCAACCGAGCGCCACGCCCCTCTAACGCCCACAATTGCCCACATTTTTTAATATTTTAAAAATCTATAAATGCAATTTTATAGTGTTTGTAAATACCTATCGAAATGTAGAAGACAATTTTCAAATCGGACCAGTCATTAAAAAGTTATGCGCAATTAAAGTTTTTTATATATCCATCTCCCTCGCACTCCCTTTAGCTGAGTTACGGGTATTATATAATCGGGACAACAACCCGACTATAGCGTTCTCTCTTGTTTATTTTTGTTATAAAGTCCCATTTAATTTTTAAATTGTTGTTCACTTTTAAAAAATTTTTAAATCTAAGAAATTATTAATTATTACAAAAAAATATTGTAAAACTAAACAATTTATATTTTATTATTTTTCAGGGCTCAACTGCTTAGCATGAAACAGCAAGGGCATCAGCACATGGGACCCGTCGACTACTTCAGCATAAAGATCAGCTTCGCCAAGGGCTGGGGACCCGCCTACAAAAGACAGGACATCATGGGCTGCCCCTGCTGGCTGGAGGTGCACTTTAGCCATCTGCGGTGACAGTACCTGCTGCAGGCCCTTTCGGCAGGACCTCATCCGGCTACCCATCACCGGGCGGAGCCTTTGGGTGGCGGATACGACCAGGTGAGCAGCTGGCGATCCCGTCAACTGCTCCGGAAGGCCCAGAAGCTGCTGACCCGGCTGTGCAGACAGGTGTGCGCTCTGACGGATTACCCCGCGACGAGGACGAGATGGAGGTGCCTGGCGGGCAGGAGATCGAGCCGCCAGTTAACCAGTAAACAACCAATAATTTGGAACAACAAAGGACTGCAAAAGAAATCATTTTAAATGTTAATATACATAATTACGAAACAAGTTTCAATTACTGCTAGTAGACACATCGAAATTAATTTTAACGCATCTGAGTCGCATTAAGTGAGAGAAAGAGGAGGAGGAGTCTAGAAGTGGCTGCGAGTCGGGGCGAAATACATAGTAATTGATTGTTAAAAATACTTAGCAAAAATTGAAATCCTGTGATTCACTCTATATATACACATGTAGTAATGTACCGACGCGTGGGGCTAGAGCTCCATTGCCAGTAGCTATATGATATGTATAAATACTTAACTTATATATACATACTTTACAGAAGGCACATCAGGGTTAACAGTTTCGAGAATGGCAGATGATAGTCTAGTTACGATAAAACATTCAGAAGCCACTACCTTTTCTATGCGACGTTTTTAAAGGAACCCAAGCCCATAATTTATACCCCACCCAAATGAAACCAAACATCACTGAAATACAAATCTGTTCAGTAGTAACTGCATAGATCCTAGGTTAAAAAGAACACCATACAAACAATTCGATACGGTTTCAGACTCTAGCGCATAGGGAAAAACAATTGGCTTTTAGAAAGCGTACGTCATGTTCGAACATTATTTGTATTATGTTGATATTTTGACTGTTTTCGTTGTCATAACATGCATTCATTTTTTAATAACCAAGATACTTACAGCAACTGAGTTGCCTAAAATACTTTTATTTAAATCTGAAAACATCATCGGTCCATTCATCGTTCACAATCCCAAACTTCGGTTTCATTTCCACCTGTAGGAAATGACAATTCGAGGATTTGGTGTAGTAGTTAAAATCCGTGCGCTAGATCTTTTAACCTCTGTACCAAACCAAACCGTATGTAGGCCAGCCTTGTATGTATTTCGATCTAAGAATAAAAGCGATCCACGTAAAACTATTGTTACCATTTTTCTTACTGTTAAAGGAAGTCCGTGTTCAGTAAATTCATAAAGAAAATAGATACGCCATTATTGTATGTATATTTTAATTCCAAAAAAGCACTATAAAAAATAGAAACAAACTTTAAACATACTCATGAGAAAAGTTAGTGGGATGATTTTCAAAATTTCTCCGCATGTAAAAATCTGATGACCAGAAATAAATACATACAATAGCTTCAATATGATCAAATATTTAATCAGTGCAGTTATACTGTTAAGTTTAAAAATTGTAATAAAATTTCAATATATTTACAAAAACAATTGGTAAGCGAAATTCGATATTATTTGAAATGGTTGAAATTATCCAAAGTAAAAAGCGGGGTATTACATTTTTTGTTTGGAGACATTACACTTTTCTATATTACAGTGTACCATCAACAGATTTATTAAATGATTAAAACTAAGGCAGAATTTATTCAATCACATAATCCTTATCAAAATCGTATTTTTCTGCCTTCGTAGAAGATGACCCTAGGCTAAAGCTATCCAGAACGTCTGTAATTTTGGAGATTTTCTTCTCGTTGCGAACATTCTGTTTCTTCTTTTGCTTTTGCAGTTGTTTAATGCCTTTGTTAAGGGATTGGTTTTCTGGAATTAACAGAAATACAGGGGTTAATACGATTCCATGATGGAAATTCGGTGTTGCTTACCTTCCAAGAGTAGACTGGGATCGACCTTCTCCTTTTCTTCATCCAGCTTTCGCTTGCGACCCTTGGCAGGTTTTTCCTTCTCGTCTATGACCAAATTTTCAGTCACTTTATCGGCAGGATTCTCTATTTCACGCGGTTGTCTTATCTCGAGTGGCCCCGAAGACGTTATTTCCATAATTTCATCGGTTTTTTCAGCGCAATGCTCTAGAATCTCTGTCTCCATGGACTCGAAGTTCTCTACGTCGAATTCGCGGGCCTCGGAGTGTACAATTGAGGCACTTATGTGCACACTTTGGGCTTCCTCGACTTCCGGAGGCTGTGTGCAGTATTTGATTTTGCCCGTGTTCCAATCGTTGAGCACACTTCGTGCGGCGGCCACAACATCGGGAACTCCCTTCTTCAGGAATTTTCCTATGGTTATATTAAGATAAGTGAGTATTCTGTTCTTTAACAAGTTTAATATTAAAAACTCACCCATTCTGGCTGCCTTTTTGGCGAAGAACTCCTCGAATGTGTCGTAGCTTGTTATATCGTACATGGTGCAGAAGTAATCCTTGCTGGCGCGCTTTAAAACGCTCTCAGCGATGGTGAAGGGATCTTTTACATCACCCACGCGCTGCGCATTCTTCAGAACAGCATGTGAGTTTTCACCTCCGCTGGTGAACACAATGCCGGGGCAATCAATTAGTTTTATTTTCGAATCCAGCTCAACTTCCTGCATTGACCTGAAAAATAGAAGGCGTTATAAACCAGTTGCACAAAGAAAACCACGTGGAGTATGAAAAGAAACTCACTTGGTTACTCCTGGCGTGCTGCCCACCATGCAGGATCTGCCGCGGGTTAGTGAGTTGATGATGGAGCTCTTGCCCACATTCGGGATGCCCACAACGCCCACGCGAATCGAGGTCTTGATGCCCTTGTTGCGGCAGTAGTTGCCCAGCATGGACATGAGCAATTCGGCGCCAATGCAGACGGATCCCTGCATGGCCTTCTCGGTCTTCATCTCGCGCAGCTTGCGGCGTCCCAGCCGATTGGCCTGATCCTGTGTGGAGGCCTTGAAGGCGGTGACGGGTCCGCTGCGGCGGAAGTACTTGATCCAGTTGTTCAGGTTCTCGCGCGGCACCAGATCGGCCTTGTTGAGCACCAGGACCAGTCGCTTGTTGCCCGGAGCACCGCGAACGGCGCGCTCCACCTCGTTGCAGCGGGTTCCCAGCGGATCACGTGCATCGACCACTTCGAGGACAACGTCGGCGTTCTCAATGACCTTTCGGAACTCCTTGAAGTACTGCTTCAGGGACTGCTCCCGGGTGACGGCATTCTTGTACTTCTTCTCGTCCGCATCCTGGGCATCGTTCTCGTGCATTATACCATGCACGGTGCTCCGCATGTCCGCATCCTCGACCATCGACTCCAGCGACTTGAACTTGCTCTGTTCGCGCTCCACCTTGAAGGCCTCGCGGCGGGCCAAACGCTCCGCCTCCTGGCGCTGCTTGGCCTCCTCCACCTCCTTCAGGATGTCCTCCTTGAAGGGGCAGATGTTGGGGATCTGGATGAGCTTCTGTTTCTTGCTGCCCTTCTTCGGATTCTTCTTGGCCGCGCGACGTTCCTTTTTGTTGTGGTCGCGCACCTTCTTTTCGATCTTGTGCTTCAGGCGACCGGTCAACCTCTTGGATTTCTTAGCTGCGGAGTGGTTGGCAACATGTATAACTATTTTAACTTAAAGGGTTTGGTAAATACTCACTCTTTAACCTTTTTAGAGCCATTTTACACGAGGATTGCCGGAATCAAAACCAACTTAAAACAAGAACACGTGAAAATAGTCTTCTTCTTGCTTTTTTGCCAGCCACCACGAAGCGTGGCCACTTGTTGTGGCGTGTTAGCCAACACTGCCAGTGTTGCCAGACCGGCGGTGTGATGTAATTTGGTTTTTGTACACCGTCTGCGAATTAAATTAAAAATGTCTCTTAAAACCGTATTATTAACTGCTCTGCGGAGCATCACCTTGCCAGCTGTGCCACTCCAGACCTCAAGGATACACACGGGCGTTTGCTGGCGGAAGGCGGAGGACCGCAAGGAAATGCTGGCATCTTTGCCGGCCAAAGACGAAGGAACAGTGGGCGAGAAAACGGTGGACATCGATACACTTATCAATCGGTAGGTAATTCTTAGCTTTTCTTAAAACAAAAACTGATATATTGCATTATTTACCCACAGCAAGGCCAAGTTCTTCCCGGATGCCAGCACCGCCACCCAATTGTTTAATGGAATGCCCTTCAACGAACTGCCCATCTGCAACATTCGGGTTTCGCCCAACAACACAATTATTTCCGTCACGGATCACAAAGGTTGGTTATTTGGATGACTGCTGTTTCTTTAAGACCTGGATGTACTATTAAAATATCTATTACTTTTAGGAGTCCTCCGACTGATACGATCCTGTGGCATTGAGGGATTCAAAAACACCCGCAAGGGAACCAACATCGCTGCGCAAGCTACTGCTGTTACCATTAGTGGAGTAAGTTAAACCCCGGAATAATGGTAATCCTAATAGATCATAATCGGAAATGACCCCGAAAAGGTTTTGTAGTCATTCAAGTTTTTGGCTAATTTGAATTTTTATTTAGTGCGTCATAATAACGTTACTTTGTAAAATATTTTATGTTTATACTATTGCAAAAAGAACTACTACGTTGGTAAGAATTTTGTAATGCTCAGATCGACCCATTTGGGATCTATTCCTTCTTTCTTTATGTTTTTTTTATCAGCTAGGGCAGTCGATACACTAATCTAGTTTTAAAATCTGGTTTGAAAGCTATATATTAAAATTATATTGATAGGCATACATAAATATATTTTAAAATCAAGGATATAACGAACGAAATAATACAATTTTATTACAGAAAGCCATTGAATTGGGTTGGAAGACAGTTCGAGTGAAGGTCCGTGGTCTAGGTCCTGGAAGAATGGTAGGTTCAGAATAAAATTTCCATCGTCTAAGTAAAACTAATTAAATAATTTGACTTTTCCCAGTCGGCTATCAAAGGATTGCAAATGGGTGGACTAAACATTGTTTCCATAACCGACAACACACACGTTTCATTTAATCCCCCAAGACCCCGAAAACAAAGGAGTCTCTAATCTTCAACTTGTTAAGACCTTTGTTTATAAACAAATATACAAATAGTCGATAAAAAAAACCAAAAATTGATCTTTGAAATGGAATAAACGACACTGTCACGGTGAGTGAGTTTTAATGGAAACAAATTTATTTATGGCCGACATGTCACAAGACATGTCCGTAATTTGTCGACAGCTTTTTACGGCGCAATAAATATGACTTGATTTAAGTTACTTTACCATCCCACAGGCTGAAGTCTAAAACAGGTGTTATTAGATTTGTAAAATATTTTTGTTTTTTTATTTAACTTATATTACTAGCTTTTTACTTATAAATTACTATGGATGCACATAACTCCTTTGATAATTCTAATCTAAAAAAAAAGTACAATATGCAAGTTATCAGTATGGATGCCTAAAAAATACATAAAATACGAAACTTTCCTTCCACTAATCAACTATTAACCCTAATCAATCTTTATAAATTGGGCTGACGAGCGCCAGTTAATGTTATGGATGCCATAAAAACGGTTTGACTAAATATCACCTAGCGAACACACTAGCAATATACTTCAATGGAATGCTCCTTCTCAACATGGAATTCTTGGGGATACGACGATCAGGCTTTGTACAATGAATGATGTTTTTGGTTGTGGCTAGGCGTGAGGTTCGGATTCGTATTGTCATGTGGCTGCCGTAGTGAGTTTTCGCAGACGCCCTTCGATGTGGCTATGAAACACTTTCGCCGCTGTGCTCAGTAAACATGCTTTTCGCGCCTTGTCGAACTTATGAAGCGGCACCTCCAATGGGGTTCCATCCTTCTGCTTGAATGGCGATGGGTTACACCTTCGGAATTTTTCCTGCATTCTGGCCCAGGGGCAGCTCGGATTGTTCAGCTCCTCGGATTTAATGGCGGGTATTTGAAAACTATGTCGTTCTGGAGGAATTTCCGGCTTTACGTCTACTTCAGAGTCACAATTATTGCAGCCGCTCATCCCGAATGAAGTGTGAAACTGCATATTGGACGCGTTTCCATATTGCGGACTGCCACTGCCGCACGGATTCTGTGGTGAAGTGCCATGCCTTCCCTGGTCGTTACCTCCATCTGGCTGTGGAGCGTCGCTCTCTTCGTAGTCCATAAACGTGGTCGAACAAGCTGGCTGATAAATAACCGCCGACGCATGACCAGATCTTCCCGATTTCAGCGGCGTTCCCTTCGTCCAAGTATTTGTTCGCGGATCGTAAACCTCAACGATGGACAGGAAGTTATTTCCATCGAATCCACCAATTGCGTACAGTTTTCCGTCCAGCGGCGTCAGCGAGAGAGCACTGCGTGCGATCTGGATTGGTGCCACCATGTCCCAGGTATCGTTTTCGGTATCATAACGCTCCACAGTGGCCAGTTGTCGGGTGCCATCAAAGCCTCCCACCACGTAGATGTACTGGTTAATGGCCGCCACACCTAATCATAATTAATTCGAAATTTAGTTTAACTCAAGATAACAGGATGTTTAGTCATTCTTACCCGCTCCACTGCGACCCGTTTGTAGCGGTGGCAGGAAACTCCACTCGTTGTTCTCCGGATGATAGCACTCTACGCTGCCCAAACGCTCGTTTCCATCGAAACCTCCGATGGCGTAGAGCAACCGATTGACCACCACCACGCCGACACCCAAGCGCTTAGCATGCATCGGCTGAACGAGGGTCCAGCGATCGAGTTCTGGGTCATAGCTGAAAATAGATTATAATATACCATTAATATGTGGTTATAACATAATATATTTAACATAATTATCATATTGGTTGTTGGAGAGCTATCTTTTAGAGAAAGAGGTATGTTTTAGTAATATTTTGGTGTATTTTTTTTTAAGAAAACAAGTTTATTTTTTAGATTTACACGCTGATTGATTTGGAATTTAATTACATGCTCAACCCAGTATAACCTTCTATATTTAAACAATATGTTTTGTACAAAGTACTAATGTTGTGAAGAAAATTAGTATAAGGATTTGTGTCGAAAAATTAATTTGTTTGTTTCTGTTCTGTGCAGCTCATGACTTACGCAAGCAATAAGAATTTTAGGAATTTTTTGCAAGTTTTTTATATATTCTTAAGTAGTTGGCATAGGACAATTCATGATAAAATCTTTTCTCGGCTTATAGGCTAAAAATAAGGAATTTTTAAATTTAAAATAAGTAGCAAATATAAAAGTATGCTTAATTTTCAGTTTTAATTTCCGCAGGCGAAGCTGCTAGTTTAACATAACATTTGCAACTTCATTGACACGCTTTTAAAATCGTTTTAAATGGGCTATATTTAAACTACCGCTCCACTCGATGTTGAATAAATTAAAATAGTAACTAGTTTGAGATTAACAAAATACAATATTTTAAGCATTTAACTGATCAAATAGGTACTACAGTTATTTCTAGTTAACAAATAATACTCACTATTCCACTGTGCTGTGGTACTCCATGCCCGCGGATCCGCCCACGGCGTACATTAGCTCGTCCATAACGGCCACGCCCACTCGATGGCGTGGCACGGACATCGGAGCGCAGGGACGCCACGTCTCGCTGACGGTGCTATAGCGATCCACCCAATCCGAGTCGTAGGAGGAGCCAATATTGTTATTTCTGCCTCCCACCGCATAGAACTTGCCCTTGAGGAAAGCGGCGCCCAGGCCGGATCTTGGAATGCGCAGATTGGGCAGTGTCGTCCACGTCTTGTCGTCCACATTGTAGGCCTCCAGGATGTCCAGTGAGTGGCGGAAGAAGCCGCCGGCCACGAAAATCATTCGTGTGGTGTTGGGCGTCCGCTCCTTGACACCCGGACACTTGTGCAGCGTCAAGTCCTTGAAGATCTTGGCCAAATACTCCCGACAGGCGGGCACCTTTCGCAGAACATCGCAGTTTTTCATCTGCTCCTTGAGGAAGTTGGGCGTGAGGAACTGGCAACGCACGGCGCCCAAGATGTGTTCCATTTTGCAGTGCCGATTGTCCTCGTCGTATTTCACCCACTTGAGCACAGCGTTGTAGACCTCCCGCTCCTCCTGCACATTCAGTTCATCTCGGCGGATCAGCGCTATCAACTGATAGGCCGAAAGCTGCAGGAACTCCTCCTCTTGGCACACCTGAAAGAGAAGCAAAAGATGTAGTTTTCGGGGTAAAAATATATAGTAGAGATTACTAACCTGCGTGAAATTCCGCTCAATAAACACATTGGCCTTCTTTTGCAGCTCAACGCAGCCGTGCTGCTCGGCAAAGTGGGCGATGCCAATGGCATTCGTGGGGTCCAATTGGCGCTCCAGGAAGGCACAGCAGGCATCGATTACGTTTGGCACTTGGAACATGGTGGCCGCCGGCAGCAGTTGGCACACGGTCACCTCAGTCACTCGAATCTGGCCGGTGTACATGAAGTAGAGGATGCGGGACATGGCCGTGGGACAGACCTAAAAAAAGAGCGAAACGGACGAACTGTTCATCCATTAAACCAACCAATTAGGGGCCGCGCTTGAACTGAACTTACCCCCTGGAGCTGGACGCGCGACATTTCCGACTCCTTCAGTCCGCCCGTGAACATGGCCTTGAAGTAGGGCGATGCGGCGGACAGCACCACTTTGTGGGCGGGAAAGAGCTCCTTCTTCACCTCGAGCACCACGTCCGTGAGCATGCCGTGCGACCGCATCATGTACATCATCTTCAGGGCCTCCTTGGCATAGTTGGACATGCAGAAGGTCATGTCGTCGTCCGTGGCATCGTGGTCATCTAAGGTCGAGTGCACCGATCCAAATCGACCGCCACAATTTGACGAGATGGAACAACTTTCCGAAGTGTTGTTCATCTCAACCTCTGGAAAGTCAATAGATATATTATTAATATATGATATCCATAGTAATTAAGTTAATAACTTAAAGTATTTAAAACTATGAATTTAATGACCATATTATATGGTTACGAGTTTGAAACTAATACACCTTACAACCGAGCCCTGTAACCCTTGTACCCCATCCATCGCAAATAGATCGACAATCAGCTTAGGCTATATATTCTGTTATGTTATCTAATCTGTTATGAATTTGCAAAAATAAAATCCAAGATGGCACTTTAACGAAATCCTCCAAGTGTGAAATGACGTAGTATTTTACGCATATCTAAGATAGCTGAATAATGAGATACGGCAAAGCTTTAATAAATTCTAGAATTAAAAGGGATTCTTGATTTTGTTTGTGGTAAAGATTTGCTTATAATTTTGTTATTTTTAAAAATATTAGTTTTGGAAACGTTCCCCAGTAAAGATTTATTAACTCTCGATAAGAAAATTAGCCAGATAAGATTAAAGTAATCGGTAACCCTTTGAAAAAACCATACTTTTAGTTTTTGGATTACACTCTTTCGAGCGAGTACTATAATGGCAATCGGATTTTGCATTGTCACCACAAACCAGTTTCCCCGTACGGTTATCTTTTACGATAATATCCAAAACGACTTTCAACTGTCTCTAATTATTCAAATATTCCAGCACACGCGCGATTCGGGCAATGCAACTGAAATTACTGCTGTATCACTCCATTACTTTTAAGATCTCACGTTCGACTTCGGGTGACTTCACTGTATAACAATCTAGAAACATTTCAAACATTTTTTCGCCAATCATTGTGGGCTGTTTTAGAGTGTGGGACCCGCCAGAGAACTTGATTCGCAATGTGCACCGTCATGATCAGTGGTTTTTTCCCCAAAAGCCCGAGTAGCGAAATTATCTGGCAAACTAGTTGCAAATTGAACTGTAGACCCATCGTAAAATCCAAATCCAAAACGAACCTTCTGGGGGGCAGGAGAACTTGTTGTGACTGGGGCTGTTGGAAAGATGGCTCTCATATTGCATGGGGCTATGCATTTGGGTCTGCATTTTGAGTGGAGATCCTTTGAGTTTTGTCACTTTTCAAAAATTTCTAGTTCTTGTAATCAGGGGTTTATGTACACACAGCACTCCACTCGAGATAATGTTGATTCGCAAACAAAGACTGTGTGAAAATGAAAGCGCACGATCGATCAGCTTCTGCTCCGCAAATCCACTCCGGCGATCATGCGTGCGCCGTGGAGAGAGCCCGTCAACTGACTGCTATGGTCCGCTCTACCGCTAGCCATCGGGAGTGGGAATCGGAATCGGAATCGAAAGCCCCAGAGGCCCCCGAGACTTATCTCTCGGATGGCGGGGAGCGTTACAAAGAGCGCTATCATGCTTACATGTGACTCGATTCTTTTGGACCCTTGCTTACAGGTGAATATACTCCTTGTTGTGGTGGCGATAAAATTATGTATACCATGAATGAACGCACGGCTTACGAGTCATTTTTTGGCCCGTAACGATGATGCTCACAAATCGGTACCTTCGGTAAACACAATTGTCTGCCGTGACTTTTCATTTCAGGTGAGAAATGCCTAACCTGCCCAGCAGGTTTTTTTTAGGGGAACATGAATTTCCAAATGTTTTATGTACCCATCATCTACCTAATTAATTTGTAGGGTAGATGTAGGGCTATACGACATTTCTGAAATCTTTACGCGCGTCATCCGAGCATTTAGGAATTTCGTTTCGTTGAAATGATAGCTTAAATCTGTTCAAAGTCCGCACAAAATCAGCGAATCAATACCATCAAAACAAAAGTGAAACACCCTACAAACTAAATTCCTATGCATATTTCTTTAAATCTACATACTATCATAATTCTATTGAATACTTAATAAGGAATGACTCTATTATTAATAATTTGATCACTATTCTAGACTCTCTCGCAAGGCATTTTCATAATGCGGCGTTTGAAATCATAATACCTTTAAATGCGTGTGAATTGTATATCTGATTAATCATTGTTACCAAGCAAGCAAATCATGGCAATAAATTTAGAAGTATCGAGTCATGACGGTATTCATACATTTATGTTCCCCTAAATTGAAAAAAAATCACCCGCATTTCCAATTTATGAAGCTATTATCTTACATGACGATAGAAATACATTATTACCATCAGATATATTACACAGTAAATAAAAAATTGTATGAAACCTAATTGCATGTATCATAATTTAAGATTTATTTCTGTATAAATGGTCCTGAATAGAACAGACTTTTAATTATAATTTAAAAGATTGTTTTAATTGGTCATGATTTTAATTTATAAAATTTTTATAAAGGGACCCCATATTTCTAACCAATGATTCTAAAATTTTCAAATTATAATGGTTATGAAATGACATCCTTACTCATTTGTAATTGTTTTAAAATTCAAAAGTTTCGAAAAATATTATTTTTTTTTTTAGTGATCATTTATCTATGGATACTTTATCTGAATCATCAAAGCAAACCCGAAAAACCATCTCTCAGATGAAAAAGGGGGCTTTCCCTGGAAATCCCATCTTGTGATCCGTCATATTACATACACTTCAGAAACTCCAGCTGTGTTGGAAACGGATTCTACTCATTGTTTATCAGAGTGCGGCTTTAAAATTTCCGCGTAAATTGAGGCCGGGTTGTTGGTAAATGAATGATAAAGGCAAAAACTGGGCGAAATAGTGCCGAATCATGCTGAGGAGGCAAAACCTTATACACGTTCTCCGTATATCTCTGTGTAGGTGAAAACAAATAGCGTAATCAGCACGGATGTCGAGAGTGTGTGTGCAGGTACCGTTGAACTTTGCTTCCACATAAACAAATATTACTCACTTACAATCCACTCCCTGTCCCCCTCCCACGCACGTACGAACGGTGCCCTGTACATACATACTATTTACATACGCACACCCACACTTCCAATGCCATGTGCCAAACAGCTGATGGAGGCCATGAAATGGAACTCGCGGAGAAGGCCATTAATTGTGAGATTGTGAGAAAGGCAAGCCACTTTGTTTTTATTTGATTGCTGCAATGCGGAGCAAACATTTACACTGCATTTACAACTCCAGATCTCACAGTCTGTGTATATAACCACGTATGTATATAAGCTGGGAAAGTACACCGTAAATTTCTCCCTTTGTTTCATTGAAGTTTTCACTCGAAGGTAAACTAACGCCCGTAAGTAAATGAAAACATTTGAACTCGGCTTTACAAACTATGCTAGCACTGAGAACTTTATGTGCGATATTTAATTAACAGTTTTTATATTTTATTTACTGCTACTCACAGGTTTATTTATTTATTTTGACACTGCCACTCCGACTTTTTTTCTTCTGCGAGAATTCAAGGGTTGCCGGATAGTTTGAAAAGGTTAAAAATCCCTAAATTAAGGTCTTACTGCTCAGTCAGCTGCTTTTGTTTACAAACAAAAATAAATAAGAATTGCAAAAGATATGGCTTAAATTAGATAATAAATGCAATTTTATATGAACTTTAAAACAGTAAATTGTTTAACAAATCTTTTATCAACAGCTGATTTGTAACACAAATGTTCCGTTTTTTAGCTGGTCACACTGCTGCCCTTTGGAATTCCAATTGGATTTTTGTGCAATATTAAAAGTACTCAAAGTTACTTAATAGCTTAAGTACAGAGATTAATTAAAAATGAAGCCGGCCTTGAAGACGATTAATGCCACAGGAAAACACACTGCCTCCGTGATATTCTTCCACGGATCCGGCGACACCGGCCCGAATGTTCTGGAATGGGTGCGCTTCCTTTTGGGAAGGGATCTGGAGTATCCGCACATTAAGATCATCTATCCCACGGCGCCCAAGCAGAAGTACACCCCGCTGGACGGGGATCTGTCCAATGTTTGGTTCGACCGCAAATCCGTGAACATTGCCGCCCCGGAGAGCAAGAAGAGCATGTCCCAGTGCTACGAGGCAGTCAACCAGCTCATCGATGACGAGGTGTCCAGCGGAATCCCGCTAAATAGGATCATTGTGGGCGGATTCTCCATGGGCGGGGCAGTGGCCCTGCATACGGGCTACCATTTGAGACCCAGTTTGGCCGGCGTATTTGCACACTCCTCGTTCCTGAATCGCGGTTCCGTTGTCTACGAATCCCTGGAGAACAGTAAAGCGGATTCCCTTCCCGAACTGCGAATGTTCCACGGGGAACGGGATACACTAGTTCCGCAGGACTGGGGCCTTGAGACTTTTGAATCCCTTAAGAAACTGGGCGTCCAGGGCACATTCCATCCGCTGAGGAACACTCTGCACGAACTGAAAACCGCCTCCATCACGGATCTTCAGAAATGGATTCTGGAAAAGCTGCCTCCGTTGGAAAACCAAGTGCAAAACAAGCTCTAAGTGGCAAGTATTAAAAAGAAATATATTTTAAATAACAAACTAACTTTTTACTCAATTGCAGTGTTTGGCATGAAACCCATGCAATTTGGAGCAGCGCAGAGGCAAGTCTTTCCATCTGTTACCTTTTTATACTGCCCCTCTCCGCCGTAATGAAAGCACAGCTCCTCCTGGGCCCGAATATCCCGGGCTGCAAAAATACCTAGGGATATACGATACATTACCTCCATAAATCGGAGTAAAACCAGCAATAAAACTCACCTATTTTCGGTATAGGACAGTCGATTCGTACTGCTGCTATATGGCAATTGGGTTCACAGCTGTGGTTTAGGTATCGCCCGATGTTTCCACGTCTGGAAGGATCCACGATGGTCACCTGTTGCTTCTTTTCGCTGGTATATTCGTTTAGAACCAGGACGTAGTTCATCACGCCAAGTTCTTCATTAATCTTCAAGCGTCTTTTGGCTTCCGATGCGGTTAAAAGTTCTCCGGCATATTCGCAAATGTATCCACCTTCTGGAATGTTTACCGTTGTGCGCAGACCTTTGGATTTGTAAACTGGAGAATCGAATATTTCCAGATTTTCCCTTGGGCCGTACTGCACAAGCCGATTGGAGCAGGTGGTTCTACTGCACTTGCATAAATCATTGCACTCAATGACGGGATTTGAGGATTTCCTGAGTACTAATTCTCCCCCATCCGTTAAGCACTCATATTGAGCACCATGTGGACAGATTTCACTATTTTCGCAGGCTCCATTGCAGAAACATTGGTTCAGAAGAACAGAATTGTACTCATCCGCCAAACGTTCAAAATCTAAACTGTCATCGCTCGGCATCAAAACCGATTCCAATATATACTCTATACTATCTGGGTGCTCGTAGTCGTCACAAAGAGCTATCCTAGATCCATTCATTTTAAGGATTGTTTATACTAGATTATTTTTATTTTCTTAATTTATGGAACCTTAAAGCGATTTTGTATTCCAGAATATCGGATTCCATTCAGTCGGTCACACTCGCAATTTGAAAATTCTTGCAATTTAAAGTTTAAATTTTAAAAGAAAATTTCCCATAGAAAATATTTTATTTTTATTCTAATATCCTTATATCTTTAAATTAACCGCTTGAAATTGGGCGTTACCAGACTTTCAAAAAAGGGCATCTTCCCTTTTCGATGAGCTCCCACTTCCCCTGCGTGTTGAGTTTCCACCGCTCCACCATGTTGGATTTCCCACTCCGCCGCAGTGTTGGGTTTCCATTTCGGAGCGATGAAGGGGCTGATTTGGATCCAATCGAAGTTGTCGAACGATTGGCAGCACGTCTGAACTTTATGGGAGCCTGGTAGAAGTTCATCGAGTCGATGGCTTCAAAATGGTTCTGAATATATCGATTTTATTGGGGATTGCCCGCTGGGCGGAGGGACATTTTTCGAATGGCAGGGCCATGGTATCTGCACATTAGAAAGTAAAACGTTATTTGCCAATTGATAAATTAAAATTTTAATTCAGGAACTAACCCTTTGAAAATGTGGTACATTCTCATTTATTATCTTTGATTTGACTAGTGTACTTACATATTTTTGTTACATTTCCTATTACACAAAAGAATGGTCTTATCACCATTTTCGGGCACCATTTCCCGTTGTTGTAAAGATTATTACAGCGCTTCCGGTTATTACATATCTGTTTATTTTCAAAGAACATTATTCATAATTTTGTGTATTTTCAAAAGGATTCGTTTTGCTAATCAGAGAAGATGTTTTAAAAGTACTTCCGCAATTGTAAATTTATTAGTTCAGAAGGGGAAATTAAAATGTACATACTCAAAAATATTTATTGTATTTTTATTTAATGACAAATTCAAACAAATATTTAAGCATAAAATGCTTAAAAATTTCACTAAATGTCATCTAAAGGGCTCCGGAGGAATGTACGAATTAACCAGTAGACAATTTCTGAAAATGAAAAATTATACAATATGTTTCAAACAGGGACCGTAAATAACAGTCATTTGAGACTTTTATTTTAAAAAGACTACTGTCATATTTTGTTTTAAACGTCAAAAATAACACTCTTTTTTACTCTTGTCCACAAAGCATATGCATTTCAACAAATCTGGAGAGCAAATTAACTGTTATTTGTCCATGTCTATAAAGTCCATAAAAACAAGTAAAATTGTTGATAAAAAATTGAACAAATCTCAGTAGGCCTTTTAAAATAAATGTCTCAAATAACTGTTATTTACGGTCCCTGGTTTTAAATAATCACTTGGCTTGTATCTTACCATAGTTAATCATTGAAAAGAGTATTTTTCAATTCCTTGGCTAATCTTGTGACCTTTGTGATTTTGTCCTCCTCCTTCTTTTCGTACAAAATAAATGAGGTTACACCAACCGCAATTAGGACCAAAATTACGGTTATGATTAGGATCAGAGGAGTACAGTTAAAGCAGCTAAAAATGTTTACCAATATTTAATTTATTAAGTATTTGATATATCATAATGATAAGATATACAAAAGAATCGTACTTTGAGCATTGTTTATTGTTAGAAACTACATAATTTTTACAAGTTGATAACGTTTAACTTACCCAATTCTTATATTTCCGGCCATGTTGTTGCTGCTTTTATAAAAAGTTTTTGTATTTTAAATGGAACTAAGGAAAACCAATCCAACTCCCAGTCGCTCCCGCAAACGAATGATTGAATTTAGTGCCTAATCTTCTTTTGAAAACTTATCTTAAGGTCGCAACATCCCACAATGTTGTATTTCGATATATTTTAATTTGTCGAATATAATAATACACTGGTCAACAAAACAAATGTTTACGAAATTTTTGTATCTTTATATTTTTTAATTTTTAAATTATTTTTTCTTTTTTTAATTTGTTAAAAATGTTATGTTGCATTAAGCTATATTTTCTTATATACATCTATTTATTTGAATAAAAGTCGAAGCACTTTTTTAATTTTAAATTAATATAAAGATTCGGTAAAATTTAAAGATATTATTTAGCTTTGATTAGAGCTAAGGTGGATCTCTCATAAATCAGTCTCAAGTGTTTCCAGGTTTGGATGCCAATCGTTGCTAAGTTTATGTTAAGGACACTAATTAATATTAATAAAAATTAGATGATTATATCGTAAACTTAGATGTAAGGGACCGATCTAGTTAAATGGAAACATATTTAAGTTGTCTGGTACTTTTTGTATTACAAGAAGTTCATATAATTTAAAACTTCGGGTTCGTCAAAATGTTTGCTTAGAAAAGCAAAGAAAAAACACCCCGTCCAGAAAAATTCTTGCGCAAATAATTATTTTACTTGTAAAACCATTTTTACTATATATTTATTTTTTAATGTATGTTTTTCTGAACTTAAACATCATAAATATTAAATTGTAAAATACGTGTTGCGTGGAAACATTGTTAGTTGGAGATTCAAAATAATATTTAGAGGGTGTAATATTTATTTGTACTGTTACTCAAAAAGTTTAACAATTATCCTCCTCTAAAAGGCTCCGGCGGTGTTTGTTTTGTGTAAATTGGTGGCAATTAAATGGAATTATGCAAAGCTTGGAACATTTTTGGATGTGAATTTATCTGAAATTATAATTGGTTAAAACTTTAATGAAGAGATTGTTTATTGTACATAGGTAATTGTTACTTACGTTAGTTGATTTTATTTGCTTAGGGCATCCTTGATCTTGTCAAATCCTGACTGGATGTTATCGGTTACTTTGTTGGTGTACTTGGTAACATCATCCTCCTTTTCATAGTAGTAAATGAAGTAGACGGCCAATCCGACCACAATGATGACCACCAAGAAGGTACTGATGACTGAAATCAGCACACTGAGAGCACAGTTGAAGCAGCTGAAAAGATAAGAGTACATTTATAATATTTGATTTCTTTATTTTCGAAAACTGTTGTTTGGAAATATTGAAGTGTTCTATAAAAGGGAAACGATGAGATCATTCTCTATATCTTACACATGTTCTAATGAGATCATCATCAGTAATAATTTATTTTAGTTATATATCTATATTTTTTACTTATTTATCAAATGATGTTTATAATTATTTTTTAAATGGTCATCCCCAGTATAATTGTTCTCATTAGTCTTAATAGTTAAAAAGAAAAGTCTTCTGCCAGCACATAAAAATGATGCAATACTTCCGAGTTAATTACGCATGAAAAGTTGTCTAATAAAAATGCACCCCAAATAACATTCGTAGATTAAATTTCCACCCCAGCAGCGGGTTAACAACTACGTTTCGAGGGCCAAGAACTGGCATTCCAACGGAAATGCGAAACCGGCGACAAGCTGCCGGTTGTTGGCTAATACCAACGGGGCGGGGGGATGGCGATTCCTGGGGGTAGATATGTATTCAAGGAATAATTCCGTCGCGCCTCGATGGAGCCAGGACCTTCTGGAGCCAGATGGTACATATACATAAAGGAAAACTAATGCGTCGAACTACAAAATTCTCGCCATGACCACATTCTTTGTTTGTATCTCATAGATACGCAAATACGCGGGCTTTCAATTGTGGCCACTGTGCGCGAATGTGAACAAGTATATAAATATATATATCTGTATGTGCCTTAGGGAAGCGTGAGCTGGAATAATAATAAGTAGTCTTCTGTGGCTACCATGTTGCATGTCATGTACGTATATTTCTCACAGCAACTATGCGTATGATTCCATGGACAATTAAGTAATTCATTCTGCCCAGCCGTTTGTATGCGATGATACGCCATCGAAAGTGGAAACACTTTCAGGTAGAACGGATCGGAGTACCTACAGATTCTCATGCGGTTTGTTTACCTGCTCTCATTGCTTTCGTTTTGCGATATGGAAACCTGTATGTATAAGAGTCGCAAGTGAGAATTCGCACAGGGGATTTCCAGTTTTTCTCTGAACTCTGCTTCCGCTTTTAAATTACATTGTTCTCTTGACGCTGCAGTGTAGTATTATAAATAAAAACAGCTCCCTCGGGAACACTGTTTTTATATAAAGATCTTTTTTAATGGGAGCCCTACATTTAAGTATGTAAATATGGGGAACTTTAGCTATCAGGTGGTTGTTTCCTTATCTTGTTTGCTGTCTTACTCACAATTCCCGATCTATTTATAATTGCTTAGCTATTTTCTGCTGCCTTCTTAATGGTGCTCTACTTGTAGAAGATTCTTTAAACTTTAAATTCTCTCTTACAAGGCCCTAGACTTTTATAATGCTAATCCAATTAATAAAACTTACCAGCAGGCTACGTTTCCGGCTAGGCACTTGCACATCTTGAACTTCTGTTTTGTTGCTGAAGATGTCTGATCAAAATAAACAATTTCGAATATCGTCTGCAATTAAATAAATAATGAGAATTTTACACCACAAGAAAGGCATCCAACTCACTCGACAAAATTTGTTTAACTAAACCCAGAGAGAATGAGCGTCCCAGTTCAGTTCGAAAACTTCTCTGCCATACATGTTCGACGGCGCACTGTGGTGCATATTCGAGAAATTGATAATACAAATTTAGAAAATTTATGATAAATAAAAATGTTTAATTTTCTTAGAATTTTTAAATATAGGTTTTATATTTTTATTTTTTATAGGTTTTGTAATTTATTAGCCGTAGACTTGTTACACGTACACCTTAAGATGGTAAAAATTGAATAATCATTCCTGAATTTTAAATTATTATTTTTCATAAACAATAAAATTTTGAAAATTTATTCATGAACTTTAAACTTTAGCTCTCAAACTTTATTTTATTTGTTTGGAGTTGAAACTGGTTTGATGTTGCATGCCAAGCGTATAACTCCCATAACAACTCTCAAAGATTCAAAGCAGTATAAGAGCATTCTTAAGTTGGCTAAGGTTCCAAAGTATTTTGTTCTTTCCCTGTTTTTCTGGCCCTTGAAAATAAGTATTTAATATGAAAAGCGTGAATGCTGTACGCACTTCCACTCCTCTCGACTTCTGAGCTCTTATACAAATATTTAACGAGTCGGGGTGAGAAGTTGAAGAGAGCGTGAAGAATAAAAACACAGTAAAATTAACCCTAGATGTTTGTTTGTTATCTTCAACGGGGCTACTTAGCAATAAAAAGCCAGAGGGAATGTAAGGCCTTTTCCTTGGCAAGTGCTATGTTTAATTATGCATTTATTATTAAATGTAATAAAAAAACGTATTATTTGGAAATATAATTGACCATTGACCAATAAAAAGTCTTTACTCTTACCATTTATGTTTTTTACACTTCAATTCCGTTGAGTACTGGTCATAATAAAAAGACATTTTTGGGATTAATTTGATTTATTTGCATAAGCTTATAATTAAAGTATTTACAAAAACTTGCTTCTGATTTATTAGATTATATTAGCAAGTGTTTTCAATATGGCAGGCATCTGTTTATCCGACTGCATAATATACATTAGCTTATGTACGCACACATTTGCACAAGTTTCGGTTAGGAAAGCACTTGGTAATGACTTGTGGGTTATGATTACAAATGTATGTATGTACAAAGATCCATTAAACATTATCCATATAAATATTCTTAACAATTTTGGTCATACATAGTCGAGTATATTATTCATATAGGATAGAGTTGAATACGTTGGTGATCCAAAACCTCGAAGATTAGAGAAGTAATCGAACCTCTCTTTCTCTCTCAACAGAACCACACTTTAAAGTATATAACGTTAAATATAAAACTTTGAACTACATCTGTCGGCTTATGGGTAAAATGAAGGCGGCTAATCGATCCGGATCCTAACGTATGTATGTATTTTCGGTGCACGGAAACGAGTTGATTGAAACTTCTCAACATCCCGTAGACTACGAATAACATAAGGGGGTTAACATGCTGGCTTTTGGTGTATATTATACAGTATTGCAGATAGTGTTGGTTCGATGATTCGCAGGTAGGGAGCCTTTGAGGCGGCTATCACATATGATTGTTCCTTTTGTAGGGTTTGGAATTAATCGGATCCTACGAGTACTGCGGCGACTCGCCCCCCGAGTTGATCTTCTTGACCCGGCTGACATCGTCGTAGGCGATGGAGAAGACGCTTTTCTTCTCGGCAATGGGATTCCGACGTCCCAGGCTGTTGAGCAGTGAGTTCATGGCTATCCCCGAATCGTGATCATCCTCCAGGGTCGAGGCATTCAGCTGCTTCTGTCCCGGACCGCGATTCTCCACGTAGATCTTCGAGTTGGACACCTTGACTTCGTTTTCCCGGATGGGCGATGGCTTGGGTTTGGCTTTGGACTCCTTACTCGACTTGGATTCCTTGCCGGCGGCAGCTGCATGTGGTGGGGTCTCGGGATACATGTAGTGAGGCAGTTTGGTGGGTGCAGCCGGCACCTCCAGGACATTTTCCCTTTCGAAGCGGTGCTCCGAGTGCTGCAGCAGTGGGTGATTCGTGTCAGTCTCGATTTTTGGTTTGTGCTGCTTGTTCAGAGCTCGGTCCTCCTTCAGCATTCGACTGCCCTTGGGCGGGGATTTCCTGGGCGCTGGCTCCGGCTTATATCGCTCCTCATCCACATCCTCCACGTCCTTGGGGTGGACTGTAATTCTGGTTTTCGAAACCCGCTTCTCGGCAGCTCCCACCCTCTTTTTACTCGATGGCTGTGACTTGGATGACTCCGTGGAGGTGCGTCCACTGACCGAGGACTTCTTGTTCTTGTTGTAGTACCACTCCATGTACTTGGGCACATTTCGCTCCTCGGGTTCGAGAGCAGCCAGCTCCGTTTCACTCTGATAGCTGCGATCGGTGAGGGATCGCTTGGATCCCACGATTTCCGTGGAGGTGGACATGAGCTTCCTGCCATTCTCCGTCACCGTGGACTCGTACTTGGAGATGGACACTCGGTTGTGCGGCGGTTCCGAGGAGGTATGCTTGCGGGAACTTCTTTTGGAGCTGTCGCGCCTTGAAAGTCGTGGCATGGCTTCTGGATGAGAGTCCTCTACTGGCGAAGGCTTTCTCGGTGATCTTTTGTGACCCACTGAGTCCTCTGGCTCTGCATATATCTTCTCCTCCCTTCGGTATCTTTCGTTCGGCGGAAGAACCCTACTGGGGTAATTGGTTCTGATCACAATCTCATCGCCATCCGAATCGATGGAGTACTCCGTGTCGTCCTCATCGAAATCTGCGTCTGAATGCTTATAGTACTTCTCCACCTGGATCTTACGGATGCTGTGCGAACTCGGACTGCCGCCTAGTTCATCCATGGAATCGGTTATTTCCATGACCAGCTCCGTTTCGGATCGCCGGCGATTTCCGTTTGCTATCCTATCTGCATTATCCCCGTTCCTGACTGACTGATCCTTGCGACTTTCGTCACTCAACTGCTTGCGCAGGATGCTCGTTTTGGTCTCCCTCAGCGGTTTCTTGGGCGGCACGCGCCTCTTCCGCTCCTGCACCTCCTCCTCCTCTTTTATGGGCGTACGGATCTTGCGCTTCACCTCCTCCACCATCACGATTCTCTTGCGCGGCTGTCTTGGCCGCTTCTTCGTCCTCCTTCGCTTGACCCAGTAGACTCCTTCGGGACTATTGGGAGGATTAAAGCGCACATACTCGTATCCATCCTCCGACATGGACTCATCGTTCTCGCTGCGAGCTCTTCGTCGCGAAGGTTTCGCCTGGATAATCTCTGGATCCAAGTCACCATCCAGTCCCTCTGTCTGAGTCCCCGCATCGCAATCCGTCTGAGTTCCTATGGCCATCGACTGGCCGGGAAGACTCTGCGTCTCCAGGGCCACCTCGTGCTGGGTGTACGCATTCTCCAGCTTCTCCTTCTCCATGAGGATCTGCCGGAGCAAAGCATTCTGCTGCTTGAGTGAGTTCTCCAGTTCGTGGGTCAGTGACTGATTGGAAACCGCTGGCTGCATCTGCTGCTCCAGGGAGACACCACCTTCTCCACCCGCCTGCACAGGCTGGGTGTGAATGACCTTGACCTCCGGTTCCAGCTGGGAGTAAACTATGCTATTTGGTCCCGATTTTCCCAATGGAAAGGTATCTCCCTTCAGCGTCGATCCCTGCTGGACTTCATTGGGCATGGATTGTATATATGTGGCGCCCGGAACAATCTGATAGTGCTCCCTGATGATCTGCTTGCCATCCGGCTGCTCCTCGATAAACCGGCGCATCAGGATCTCCTTGCCCGAGTTGTCCACCATCAGGAGCTGCGGATGGGAGAGATTACCCGCCGGTTTCAGTGGGACATTCACGTAGATATTGTCGTCGTCCAGATTCAAGCCATCCCTTGTTTTATCCCTCGTCATCAGCTGAAGGATCTCCACGTTGCCGTCCTTGATGAACAGCTCCCGTTTGCTTTTCAGACTATTGTGGGCCGTGTTGAAGTCAATGTCACTGCCCCGATCAATCTCGTGCCTTCGCATGGAATCATCGTCGATGTGCCGCACCTCCGAGTCGTACTGCTTCCTTCGGGAATACTCCTGCCTATTCACCCGCGTCCTGGTCATGTGCTCCCTGTCGTCCATCGCCCCGTCGCGATTCTCAATCACATCCTCCATGTAAACGTCGCGGTCGTTGATCAGATTAGTCCTAGAGTTGTGGAAATTAAGATGAAGATCGTCTTTGGCTGTGCGGTTATTCCTGGGAAATATTTTATTAAATGTTTTGTTTGATTTTCAATCCACTGATTTAATCCTACTTAATGCGAACACGTCGCTGGTGCTCCTCGGCCGACTGGATGTGTCTTCCTTCGCCGAGGTCCTGGGCCCTTCCTACGTCTTCGTCAAGCTGCTCACGTCCATCGTGGAACTCCCAGCGGGTGGGCTTCGTTCGGGTATCGGGAGGTTTCTCCGCTGACCAGGCATCGCGTCTTCCCATCCACTCGGCGACCTAAAAGATGGTCAGGGATTCGGTTTATAAAGATTTCTATTAACCCTAAAAAGCGCGGTATTTATAAGGATATTAATAATGCATATGAAGCAAAGAGAATCAAGAGACATTTTCACTAAGCAGTTATTAAACATTAAATGACAAGAAGATTTAATTATAAATTTAAAAAACAATAATTGCTTTGTGAAATGTATTCTCAGGTTAGTTTTAACTTGTTTGATAGGCTTCCACATCCATTATTTGTGCAAAGTGAAATAATTTCGTAGTCGATAAGGAAATCAAAAATGAAAAACTTAAAATTGATAGCTTTTGCAATTTGGAATTTGGTAAGTGCGTTTCGTTTGCATTACGTTTACTACTACAATTGAATTCGAAAAAGTTCAAAATCTACCTGAACAGATTTTGTTTGTTTTCCATTTGCC